GCTAGTAAGTGTTATGTGTCTGAGGCTGGATTTGAAGTCAGGTCCTCCTGAATCCAGGGCCAGTGATCTATCCACTGCACCACCTAGCTGCCCCCAGAACTCAAAAGTTTTAAAAAATAAATGTTAAAAATGTTTTTACATGTAATTGGGGAAAAATAAAACACTAAAATACAAATAAGCCTGAAAAAAAGAATGTAAAATTATTTACAATGGGATTTTATTATACTTAGAAAATTGGTTATCACCATGACTCATGGTTAGTATGTGTGGACTCTGCTGTGTTAAAATATCTTTTTTTTAAAATAAAATTACTCTTGCCTCAAGACTTAAAAAAATTCTGCTTACTTTCTTATTACATAAAAACACACATACACACACACACACACACATCCTCAGGGCTCCTACATAGTTCTAACAAAAAGCTGGCTTTGAATGAAAATGGACTAATCTTAGCACAAGCATCTCACTACTGCTTAATTGTGTCAACTAAGTATCTACCACATAGTAGGTACTTAACTAAGCATTGTTGGATTAGATTGAATTAATGTTCCCTCTACCCATTGGTTTTCTTCTTTTTTTATATTGTTACTCCACACAAAAGAGTGAGAGGATACATGGCATAATAGATATATTGGCATTAGTGCCACGCTGACATGGGTTCAAGTCTGGCCTTTGACCCATACTGCCTGTGAGACCTTGTGAAAGACACTTAAATTCTCAGTGCTACAGGAAACCTTTCAAGCCTCAAGGTTGCAGAGAAACTGATTAAGAACATTTTTTCTCCACAGATGTTCCCTATGCTGATGAAATTACAGATGTGCACAAAAAATATTGAGATGCTCCTATCTTATCTATCCCCCAAAATAATATTTATCATTATCATTATTATTAATTCATGTTTATATATCACTATAAGATTCCTAATACCTTTGAGTCATTTTCTAGTTTTCACTATTATTTGCATCTTTTGATATTTGATTAAATTCTACTGCTTTGACCAACAGATATATATGAAAATGTCTCCCTCACTTCAGTAGAATTATCCCTAGAACTATTTATTCCATTTAAAAGAACAATAATGTAAAGTGTTTGGGAAATACTTATACCTTGTCTATATCCACTCTTTTGTCTCGATTCCAATCATAACTTTCATATGCATCTTGGGTGTCTCTCACAAGGACTAGAAATCCATCTCTCTCTAGATTCTCAGCTTTCTGTCTCACTCCCTTTGATTAAACACACATGCATTCTTTAAAGTTTTATTCATTACACTCCAACTTGACTAACACATAGTCTTCCAAATTATTTAGTGACTCCCCATTGTTTTCTCTAAAAGTTTCCCACCCTGTAATTTGAGGCTTCCTTCATTTCTGATTCTGCTTTTTTTGTATACAACCTCTTTGCATATTTCTTCCTCATTCTTCTGTGTATATTTCTGAAATGACTTTTTTCTAGTTGACTGCACAAAGTGAAGCTTCAATTCAGCTGTTTAGCACATTGTGCCTTGGTTCATTTGCTCTATTAAAAATTTGGAAAGAGAGGGGTGAATTTAAACAAAAGTAGTTTATTATCAATGGATATCAAGATAATATGTTTGGTTTATGAGTCAGCAGGAAGCATCATGGTATACTGGAAAGCAATTGGTTTTAGAATAAGAGCACTCAGATTTGATTCTTCCCTTCCCACTTACTGTACCTTGGCCTCTGCTAAGTCACTTACCCTTACTGGACCTGTTTCCTGTTATTTAAAATGAGTGTGGTGGGTGAGATGGTCTTTGTGATCCCTTTTAGTTCTAGGCCTATAATCCTAATTGGTCTATCTGAAAACAAAAAGGAAGCAAACAACATTTTTTTTTTTCAGATTGGCACTATATTCTATAATCTCATTGAAGGAATTTTCAATGCTACTTTGTGCTTATCTATTTTGTAGTTTGTAGAAGATGAATTCACAGTATTAGGGAAACAGTGTTGGAAGCAATATTAGAGGCCATTAGCCCACTCCGTCCTTGTGCAGAAATCCCTCATGCAGCAACCTTGACAAATGTTAATCCCCAGTTAGAGAGAGGGATGGAACCATTAAATCCAGATGCATCCCATTTCATGTTTGGGTAACTCTTATTGCTAGGGAGATTTTGTTTGTTTTTTGCATCGAACCAAATTCCATCTTTCTGTATCTTCCCTCCACTGATCCTAGTTCTGGCCTTTAGGGACAGAGAAAACAAGCCAGTTCCCACCATCCTTTCACCTTCCTTCCAAAGAGCTACTGAAATGTATATAGTCACTGTAGCAGCTAACTGTTCAGAAGCTCTCCTGATGAACCCATTATACTAGTTATGTAATATTCTTAGTGCACAGAAAACTTGAAATGCACTACAGACACCTAAAACCTGTTTGACACATGCATGGATGAACTAAAATGCATTTAATAAGTGCTCACTATTTGTAAGCATTATTCTAAGTTCTAGTGATAAAAACAAAAAAAAAAGTAAGGCAGTTTTGTCCTTAAAGAGGATGTATACTAATTTAAGGATATAACATTGGAAAAAAAAAGGTTCAGCTTCAAGGTGGATGGAAATTCCAAGAAGTTCTAAGAGTGTAGTGGTAGGAATGCAGGGAGGGGAGGTGGTCCTTAAGCTATGAGAGTAGGTCAGATGATAACATGAGGGTGTGCAGGGCGTACAGGGAGGGTAGATGATAAGACCTGAAATACCTTAGGATGTAATAGCAGGGCAGATGCTAATGCCTAGTGGTCCTCCATCTCACCATAATGAATGGAGCTGGTGACTAGAGAAGGTTTGAAGAGGTGGGTCTTTTTACCACTTTTCTATTCCTGATGGATTTTGGAGTTATTCTCTCTCTCTCTCTCTCTCTGTCTCTTTCTGTCTCTGTCTCTCTTTCTGTATATATGTATGTATATGTGATTTCTTTTTATCATCTATATTTATATCCATATATCTATCACCTGTATCTATAGTTATGCTTCTATATATGATACATCATATAAATGGGGTAGAGCTTCCTAAACTGACTGTAATGATCATCTTTTTAGAACTGTAATTGACATCATTGACTTAATCTCTCTTATTGAAGTCTCATCTTTAGACATAAAAGGATGTAGTTATTATAGGGATATAGTAGCTACATATAGACTGTACATACATATATGTACATATATGTGTGTGTTTATGTATATATCCATGTGGGTGTATATACATATATATACAAATGTGTGTGTGTGCATATATATATATGTATGTATGTATGTATACACACATCATTTACATGAAGTATGAAATGTAGAAGTACAACTTGGGTACAGCAGTTGGAATTTTGTCATAGGGTGCCAAATTCAGATAGGCTTCTGAGAGCCCTTTACCACTGTACAAACAACAGTTTAACACTTAGCAAGAATAATCAGTTATAACAAGAAGCTTCCACATAGTTGACTGGGACAAATTCTTCCCTCATACTACCTTGCTCCCCTTTCCCCCAGCTAAGCACAGTTGCTGCTACTTACCCAGGTGCAATTTATGATGCTTGCCCTAGGCTCAATGTTTTTGTTGTTGTTGTTGTTTGTTTTGTTTTGTTTTGTTTCCAATCTGCAATAGTTTTGGTTGGAAATGAAAACTCTTAATCAAGTAGTTTCTCAAACTAGTCTGCTCTTAAAGCATGGCATGCTAATTACAAGCATTAAAATTTGTCATCCAGGGTTCAAACTAAATGCTATTTAAATAGGAATATTTTATTTTATTTATTTATTAAGAGGAAGAAAAAAAAACTTAAATGATGTTGAAGAAGACTAACCTCTTGTAGGTAGCAAGGGCACCAGCAGCTGGTACATCTCAGTGGTCTGTGCACTGTAATCACCTCTCTACCAGTGTTATCAGTGACCCTCAGAGTGCAGGATCTTAATGGTGAACAGAAATTACGGTTAAAGCAGATGCTTTCCTCTACTGCAAAGTATACTCTTTGTCCCAAGCGGTTTTTAATCTCATATTTGTTGGAAGTTTCAGTGCCAAGTATCACTAAGAGAAGGGAAAAATAGTAATCAAAATGTTATAATCTAGCATGAATTTTCTTTGACTATGTAAATGGGTAGTCCATTTAATGCTTATGAAGAAAATAAAAATAAATTTCTAACTACATCATTAAATTTGTAGTACCCATTTCATATCACCTGAGATTTATGATTTTAATTATATGTCTACTTTATATCAGTTCCATCCCTTGACCTACAAGGATACTTTGTAGGTAATGATATGGGATTAGATTTCTTATTTTCTTTACAGACCTGTGCTAAATTGGAAACTCCTATATACCTCTCCCACCATTTCAATTTAATAAATAAATAACAAAGAATCCATATATTTGTCTGTTTAAAATTCAAAGCTAAATATCAAAGAGTTCACACGTTATTTTTGTATCTTAAAGAATAAGATAATGATTTAATTCTAAATCCCCTTTGTGACAAAATTTCTTATCGGACTATGTTTTAGTGTTCATTTTAGTCATGTTTTGGACATATATTAGGAAAAATTCAGGGGAGGGGTAGAAATGGAAATTATTTATTTGACAATGCCCAATCAATAGCAGATCATTTTTGTAACATCTTTAAATTGTAAAATCAATTGTAGATTGATTTACACACTGATGAGGTTGTGAGATTCCAGAACTGTGCTCCCTGCAGCTCTTCACATATTCCCTGACATCCCCTTTCCACCCCTGGAAATGCATTCATTCTCTAGCAAGCCTCCAATTACTTAAACTGAAAGAAATGAGTCAATATGATTTATCTTTTAGAATGACCTTGTATTGATAGAATGTTAATGACAATAAACAATTACCACCAAAAGTATGATTTTTAAAGTGATACGTCTAAATCCATCGACTGATCATTTTACTGGGGGGAATATGTATGTATACCAATGAACTGTAAAACTTACAGTGCTATGTATTAAAAAGCGGAGATAACATGGTGTAGTGGATAGCAAACATGAATCAGGTAGATATAGGTTCAGAACATGCATAAGTCACTTACAATATAGTTATGTGACATTGACCAGGTCAGTGAGCCTCTCTGTACCTTAGGCAGCGCTTGGGGTTTATCTATTAAGTCAGAGATTATTTAGGGTGGAAGAAATTCACACATCAGGAGTATCCTATACCAAGGAAATAATAGTCTCCATATGTTGTACATTGATATCTCTGCATTGCCTTGAGAGAAACTTAATAACTACATTTCTCGTCAAATTATTAACAAGTGTGGCTTTCTAAGCACAAGGAACTTAATTTCTAAAAGTTCAAGTTCATGTCCCATACTTACTTTCGAGCAGCTCCACCTGCTGGTGTATAATGATCAGGTCTAACTGTTAAAGGATGACATAAAGGAGATACCAGGTTTACATTATACCTCATAGGAAAGTTGGAGATGTTATAGAAACCATCAACATAAATCACAGTGTACATATAGTTCATCTGTTTTACTGATCCCTATTAAAGAATATGTGGGGAAAGCACTCATTTCTTATGAGGCAAAAATGGTTACAATTATTGTTGTACTCAAGTAACAACTTACAGGGTCATGGAAGGATTATGTGCAAGAATTGCTAAGAATGATAACAGCAGCTTCACTAAACTATTAAATATGAGAATTAAGGAAAAGAGCTTCTAGATAATGCAAAAATAAAAAAAGTGATTAACCTTTGGATTTAAAATGCATGTACATCTTACGTGTGATTGCTGATGTCTCAGATATTCTGAAAGTTCACAATGCCTCTAATAAAACCATGAAGGCACATTGGAAAAGTGTGATTGTCAAAGTTCTTTATTCTGCCACTCTTACATGAACTCCTGACTATTTCCTGCTATTCATTGTTAGGGATCATCTCTCACAGATAAGAAAGGACTAACTCAAAGCAAAGCTAGTCAATTTTTGTAAACTTTCTGGTTCATACCTTGCTTTAGCTAGGGAAGCAATTGATTTAGGTTAAAGATGGCCCCTTCACCGCAGTTGGTCCACACTATCTTATTCATAGCAACAAAAAACTCAAACAGAGAAAGAAACAGCCATAGTGGAAAGAGTTTGAGATCAAGTACAAGGAAACACCTGGGTTTGTAATATAGCCTCCTCTACTTACCAGCTATGTGATCATGGGCAAATGATTGAATAACTTTGAGCTTATTCCTCAGCTCTTAAATGGGGATAGAAATACCTGTAATACCTAGTTAATGGGGATTATTTTTAAAAGGATCCAATGAAATATTCCATTTGAACATGTAGTAGTAATAATTATTATTATTGTAATTATAATGGCTATCATTTATCTGGCACTTTAGGTTTGCAAAGCACCCATATACATTATCTCATTGCATCTCATCTGTAAAACTAAAAGTCTCATACAAATGTAAGCTAATATTATTATTGTTAGTCTGAGTAAGGATTTGCAGTCAAAAGGAATTACCAATAACCTAACATTCAGTGAATTGGTGGATAATCTGTCTACCAATAAGAGAGAGTAGAGTGCAGCAAATATACCATGTGATGCAAATCACTTCTTTAAGAGAATAAAATATGAAAAGCCTATGTATGTATTTGAAGGTGTTTTTGATGTTTAGTATCTGAAGATGCCTTGTAACAAGATTGTGTTTACTTTTTATGTAATGATATGTGGTGACTTGATTTTTTTTCATTTTTTTTCCTAAAGACTGAAATCTCCAATTTATTCTCCTTTTTTAGTTTCAGCATTTCAAACATTAGCACAACTGAATAATAAAGAAAATAATTTGCCAAAGAAAACTTGAGCTGGCATGTTTTATAAAAAAAAATAGCATTAATGTTTCATGAATTCAACAGGTATTTTGTTGTTTCTGAGAAAAAAATTATATCTATCCCTGTAGAAATCGGTTCCTAAACTCATTAGACATAGGAAACTCAGAACAGGCATTGACAAGAGTTGGCATTTGTTTGGTGCCTTGAATCCAGGCTTCTAAAACATTCAAGAATTGTCTATTCATTCCCTAGGTATTCCCAACCATCTCAGGTAGGAAGATGAACAATCATGTTATTTCTATTTCTACTTTTTTAAAAACCAGATCAATGATTTCACTGGCATAGGAAGCTCCCTGAAACATTAGGTGGAGAGACTTTCCATCCTATGAGTTCCACACACAGATAAGTAAGAGGTCTGAATCTTCTTCCTCCTCCTCAAAATAAATAAAATAAATACAAGGTGTTTTAAATCAAATTCATCCATGTTCCATAGCAAATTTATATACCTTTTCTCTTCCAAATTCTGCTATATTGTTTATGGAATAATAAGAAACACCTATTTCTTCCAGAATCAATAATTGCAACATTTTATTTGTTTAAAATTGTTGATGAGTCTATTCACCGAGTGTTTGGGGACATGTGTCTTTTCTTGGAAGGCACTAGGATAAATATATCAAAGTTGACTAGATCATTTTTTTCCCTAAAATCAACTGGGAATTATTTTTAAAGTTAAGATGGGGTTTGAATTGATCTTCAAATATATATATATATATATATATATATAAAATTTGAATGTTCTAAATGCTTATGGTTGTATTTCACACAGTTCTTACTTAGACGATAGCTTCAAACATTGGATTTTATTTTATTCCATGTTTTAAGGGAGCTAGAAACACAATTTATACTTAAATTATAGTAGCATATAAGGAGACTGTAAAAATGGGCAAACTTCAGTATAATGTGTGTGTGTGTGTGTGCACGCGCACGTGTGTGTGCATGTGTGGAGAAAGAGGTAGGATGATAAAGAAGATATAGAACCAGTTTTGAAGTCAGAAAGGCCTGGATTCAAGTACTGCCTATGACATAACTGGCTTATGATTGGCCTCATGAGACATTTGGGTGGCACAGTAGATAGAGTGCTGTGTCTGGAGTCAGGAAGACTTGAGTTCAAATCCATCCTCAAATGCTTACTAGCTGTGTGACCCTGGGCAAGCCATTTAACGTCCGATTGCCTTAGTTTATTACCTGCAAAGTGGGAATAATAATAGCTCTTCACAGTTATAATAGCAACTTCACAGTTGTTGTGAGGATAAAATGAAGACATCATGTGTAAAGTGCTTTGCAAACCTTAAAGCACTATATAAATGCTAACTGTTATTATTATGATCACCATACAGAAATCACCACACCTCTCAGTTCCCCAGAGAACTCTCTACTACTATACAGGAGTTGTATAGTAATTGTTGATCTGAAATGATAGATGGAGTTTCCTGTGAGTTCCTTCTGTCTATGAATTCATAGTTCTAAAATACACATATACACACATGCACACACACATTGAATAGATCTGTAACTTTATAAAGGTAGGGAGATCCTGAGAAGGAATTTCTTTGATAAATACAAATCAGCATTAATGACATTAAAAAATTACATGACTTAACCAGGGTCACATAACCAGCATTGGTAAGAAGTAAGAGTTAAATCCAATTGTTTTTTTCCTGAGAACACTCTTTCCAATATGCCACGCTGTGTGTATATGTATATATGTACATATGTATGTATTTGTACATGTCTATGTATACACTTATTATATCTACATACTTATTAGCTGTGTCACCCTGGGTAAATCACTTAACCCTGTTTGCCCTAGTTCCTCGTTTATAAAATGACCTAAAGAAGGAAATGGTAAAGCACTCTAGTATCTGCCAAGAAAACCACAAATGGGTTCACAAAGAGTCAGATATGACAGAAACAACTGAACAGCAACAAAACCATGTTTATATGTATATTTATGTGTATAATGCACATGCATATACATATATACACATGTATATACAATACACTATTTACATACATATATGGCCCATATATACTATGTATGTGTGTGTATATGCATACATATAAATAAATATATACATATATACAGCATACATATGCATACAGCACAATATAGCATAATCCTATGTGTACCATATAGGTATATATGAAAATATGCATATATACATGTATACATATATTCTGTATATATATATATACATAAATTTAGTGCATATGTAAAATATACAGCCCAATATACTATATATCTGTATATATCTACATCTGTACACACATATATACACAAATACAGGGCGTTCCAAAAGTCAGTGCAATTTTAAGGTACTAAAGATTAAAACTACACTAAGACTTTTATGTCATCCTTTATCCATACGTTGCAGACCTGTGAATTTATTGATGTAGTGAGTTCACAATGAGGAAACTGGAAATTCCTTCCATCAATGCAGATTAGCAACTGTTCTACAACTTATTTATCATCTTAAGAGAGTTACTTAGCTAACTAGGAGGTTAAGTAAATTTCACAGGGCCACACAATCACTATATGGCAAAAATAAAATGAAGTATATCTTTCCCTATGTATGGATGCTTATATATACTCACTCCATGAAAGCAATCTTCTTGCATAAAGTGAATAAAATACAATCCTCCACATGAATAAGCTGCTCATTTATTTGAGGCAAAACTTTCATTTTCCAGACAGATCTGGATAAGGAAAGCATCAAAGACACGTGTCTAGACAACTTACTCTGCTTTGACTGAGCTGACAGGGTTTGCATCTCTCAGGTCAGGCTTTCTCTCTATGCTGTATATAGTTTTAAAAGCCTCTGTGCATTGCCAAGCATTGGGTGTCTGATCATTCCTGGATGGAGGAAGATGTGGGGTGACCATATGTGATTGTGCAATCCAGTCCTCTGGCACTGGCATTCCACTTCTATATTTGGCAAAGCCCTGTCTGACAACATCCTCTAACAGCTTGCAGCAGTTAATCAACTCTAGTCAGCTATTACAGCTGATCCACTTTGCAGATGGAAGCTGGTAGGCTGGTTTCCCCAGCTCTTTTACATACCTCCATGTGCTATTCAGTCTCTGAAGTGCATTTGTCTGCCAGTGGGTTCCTGGATAAGGCGTCTGCAATTATAAACATTTTCCCAGGAACATATGCTGCTTCCTGCTAAAACCCTATCAGGCATAACAGAAATCTCTTGTACCTTGAGGGAATTGAAACAGAGATTTGATTTTGATAAAGGAGACAGACTTTATGGTTTGAAAGAATGCCAAACAGTCTGGAAACTGTAGCAGATGTGCTGATAACTCAATATTAGTGTTAACATGAGTTCTTTGTAGACTCAGATGTGAGAACATCAGAAAAAATGAGCCAAGAGGTTGATTGCAGTTTAGGACCTAGGTTCAAATCCCTCCTCAGACCCTCATTAGCTTAGCCTTGCTAAGTCACTTGACCTCTTAGAGCCTCAACTTGTACATCTGAAAAATGTAGCCACCTCACTTGTGAGTAAAATATTTGGAGCATTATATACATGTGGAGCCATTACTCAGATGAGTGCCAATGAATATTCAACTAACTACATAATATGAGACCTGGGACACTGGATGCTCTCCAATGGCTAGTAGTGACTTGTCATCATCTATAAAATGATGTTGGATTTTATTGCCTTCTATCTCTAGATCAATGCAACTGCCCCTGCTACCACAACTTTTGTCAAAATTATTGACAATAAGATTAGTACTACTACTATGAGCCTGCAAGAATAGTAGGTCCAGAAATATATGTTCACTCTAATAGGAAAAGGGGTAGTTTAGAAGAAACAACATTTATATGCTTGCTGTGTGCACTGTACTAGGCAATGAGGACATAGGGATGAAAATAAAATAATTCCTACCCTAAAGAAGCTTGAGGGATACAACATAGGATCATAGGAGTGCAGATTTAGAGGTGAAAGGAGCCTCAAAGGTCAAGTCCAATCTGCTGATTTTATGCATGAAAAAACTAAGGCTATTGGAGATTAATAATAATAGCAGCATAGCCTTTTAACTTTTGTAAATATGATGTTATTTGATCCACACAGTCACCTAGAAAAGTTGGTGATAGTCTTATCTCCATTTTACAGGTGAGGAAACTGAGACTGAGCAGTTAAATAATTTGCCCAGGGTATGACAGCTACAAGGCATGTGAGGCAAGACTTGAGCCCAAGAGGTCCAACAGTGTCCTATCAATTATATCATGCTGTCTCTCAATGTATAAGTGTAAGTAGATACAATATAGTGTAATGAAGAGGGGGAGAGCATATACAATTGGGGAGGGGATGGATTGGGGAAGACTTGAGGGTGGAAGTGATGCTGAAGTGAGTCATGAAGGAAGGTGAAGATTCAGTGAGGTATTGGAAATGACTTCCACAAATGCAGGGAGGTAGGAGATGGGATGCTGAGTTTGGGAAAAAGCTTTCATCCCACTTAGAATGCCTTTTACATCCCTTTCTACTTACTCAATTTTGTCTATCTTTTGAGATTCAACTCATATTTCACCTCTTTGGTGAAGCCTCCCCTGGTTAATCTAAGCCAAAACTGTGCATTGGCCGAAACCAGGTTAAAATGAAATTGGGAAATATTTGACAAAATCAGTAAAAATGCAATAGAACATTATTGTGTGGTTTTCTAAGTCAATATGCAATCCTTATGTATGGTTTAATTGCACGCATTTCTATTTGTGTTTGCTGCCAGGATACTACATCATAGAATGTCTCCCTCCTCTGATCTCCATTAGCATGTAATGTCTATTCCATTTATCTGGTACTTTTATATTTTTATGTCATCTCTCTTGTTTTCCAAACTTAATCGTAAAGTTATTTGAAATCAGAACCTGCTTCCCAAAAATGTTCATATTCCTCTAAAGCACTTTGAGCTAATAGGTCTGAATTTATTCTTGTTCATGTGAACTAGTTCATAACTGCAATTGAAGTCAGCATTGAAGTCTAGGAGGCTTGACGTTAGAGCTATGTCAGTCAATGTCTCAATGGATTTACCATACCATTACTGCTCTGAAAGAGAATATAAAAAAATCACATTCCTATTGTAGATAAACAGGTAGATTCACTCATTGTTGGTGGAATTGCAAAATTGCAGGGATTGGGGTAGTTTTTGTGTTTGTGTTTGGTTTTTTGTTTTTTGTTTTGGTAGAGCAATCTGACAATCTATAATAAAAGTTATAAAAATCATCTTACACTTTGAGACTACAATTTCATTGTTGGAAACGTTCTAAAAATGTTATCATTACTATTAATTTGAAGCTAACTAGAGAAATAGTTATTGTCAAATAGCATTTTTTTTGTAATTAAAAACAAAACTACAACCAATCTAAGTATCTGAGAATTAGGAAGTGGCTAGACAAATTGTTGTGAAGTCTTAGACTGGCATAATATAATAAAAATAAGACCAACTAGTATGGGAGATATATTTTAAAAGGAAAAGACCATCATAAAATAATGCAAAGCAAAAATGACAAAAAAAAAAAGAGATCCAGAACAACAGAGTACACAGTGAGAGTAAACAGAGATAAAGTACTAACTAAATATGATCAGATAATATAAAAAAAAGTGAATGGACAAAGAATGCTAATGGAAACTTATAATCATAAAAAGTAAAAAAAATTACATGATATTTTTATTGCATATTTGAAACGAGTAGCAAGTTGTACATAGTAGATTTGCAGTTTCATGTGCAATCAGCTTTTTATTGTACTGTATTATGGAAATGTTTGTTTTATTCCATAAATTAAAAAATAAAATGTAATAATAGAGAGAAAAAAGCAGAACAACAAAATGAAAAAAAGTTATGCAATTTTACATGTGAACATTAATTTGTTTATATTTAAATAGATACAAAGTATGTTTAACTATTTGTTTTTATATTTGAGATTGAGTCACTTACATAGCTTGCATTAATAACAATAGGTACTAAAATTCTTATCACCTTCACAACTTTTCTTACATTCTCATAATATTAATTCTCATAAAAATCTAACTTTTAGTCATTTAAATATTTCTTCCCTTTATATGTTAACCAATAGAAAATATAAATGATTTTATAAATTACATGCATGGGACTGATATTGAATGTCTTCCACTGTAACTATTGGCCCAATGATACCTGCATCTGTTTTCTTTTATATGTGGCTGAAAAACAGAGATTTCTATGTGGTTCTGAGAAGAACAGACCATATAATTAACCCTTGATGTTAAATGAAATGATATTGATTTAATAAATTGAAAGACCAATGCATAAATATATATTTTCACTGGCTAAACAAAATGAACCAGAAATAAATGTAAAATAGAAAATAAGTTTGATCTGAAATATAATTTCAGAATTAATATTTTATAGTGAAATCAATAGTACAACTAAGGATTTAGGGGGAAAAAAGACCACAGAATTGTATAATTTTTATCCTCTTTTTTTCTTCAATAGGGAAGAATTAAAGAAAACACAAAAATCTTTACACTCATTTTATAATCTGAAACTGATTTTTAATAGAATTAAAAAAAATGGAAAACCAAGTTAGCTGCTGAACCCTTTTTCAATGTCTTAAGCGTAAATTCATTTTGGGGTAGTGGGGACTGGGGAGGTGGAGATTGTACAAAGAGAAAAAGAAAAACACCTGGCTCAAGTATTCTAGACCAGGAGGGAGATTGACTGGTATTGGGAGAGGCGGTAGTAATACTTGCTTCCTTGAATTCGAAGGCACGGTGGAACGACTATGGTCAGGGTCAGGATAACCTGGGAGAAAACCAGGAAGGCCTCGGCTTTTCCGATACTGACCATCTGCAAGAGAATTGGAGCCATATATAATTTTTAACAGTTGGGACACTGTTTTGTTATTAGGTGGGAGAGTGCACTTTTTCTTTGTTCTAGTTTTCATTTAAGCCTTAATGTGCCTGTCTTATCAATCTATAAAAGAAGTCTCAGCTGTCTGTCCATCATTCTCATAGTTTATTAGGACTTCTAGCAGGGATCAACTGAGCACCATAAAGGAGATGAGGTCTGAATTGGTTAACTATATTCTCATTTCTAGTAATTGGGTAAAAGGTAAATCATGTGGTCAATTTACTTTAAGAAGGTCCTCTTGAAAGTCGAGTGACTGAAGAGCATTCATTGCATGAAGAGGTATAGACAAGGGTGGAGAACAAATGGTAGAAGTCTCTGGATTCCTAGAGTTCCTAATGTATTCTACCTAGTTGCTATGGACCAGAAGCCTCTCAGTTTTCTATCCATGCCCTAGGCCCCTTCCAATTTAGGGAAACATTTTCTTTCATTTCTTTAAGCCTTTTTACCTTCTATAGCACTGGCAAATTTCATTTCTCTATCACTCTACAAACATATGCTCTTGGAATTTACACATAACCTTAAAAATTTGTATAGTGGCATTCAAATGGTGAAGTGTTTTCACATGTATTATCTTCTCTGAGTCATCAGTGACCTTGTAAGGTAGACCAGACAGCCCTGACTCATACCTCTCTCTGGACACTCCTCTTTCTCCCTGTCTTCTGCATTCCCATCCTGGAGAATTCTCCCATCTAAAGTCCTGCTCTCCTGATTGGTGACTCTCTCCCAGGATTACCATTTTAGAAAAAAACCCAGGTATGCTTCACCTTCCTTCTGTATTCTTCCTCCTTCTCTTCATCTGCCACATTGCCTGCTTCCTCCCCTACACCCTCCTACTTTTCACTTCCTCTTTATGTATTGTCTTCTCCATTAGATGTAAGCTCCTTGAATATAGGGAGTCTTGCTTTTTTTTTTGTATGTATCCCTAGTGCTTAACACCATGTCTGTCCCATAGTAAACATTCAATAAATAAATATTTATCTAGCTATCAATTATACTGTTAATTATGGTATAAAATTGTCATTGTCTTCAACTATTTGAAGGATTGCCATGTGAAAAAAAAGTTAAACTCTTCTATGTGGCTCACCATAGCAAGTTTCCATAGCAGTAGCAAATGAAATGAGAACTATTTGCCACATAGGAAGAACCAAAACTAATACTGGTATACCTGTGTACATGGTGGAAAATGTATTAACTCCTGGTGGTAGCAACATAGAGGGGGCAGGGAGGTGGCACAATGGATAGAGCACCGGGCATGCAGTCGGGAAGATCTGAACTGAAACTGGACAATCCAAGAAGCAGTAATCTTGCCATGCTCTTTCCACTCGACACATTTTTGTACCAATTTCATCAAAGAAAATTCTGTCAGAATCTACAATGCAATGAATATTTGAGATTGGAAGTCTCAATAAAGATATGCTCTGCTGTCCAGTACCAGTACATACCACAAAGCTAAATTCATCCAGGAAGAGCTAGGAGCAATGGGCAGAGTTTGGTTTTTGGTCAGCAGAAAACAAAACAAAACAAAATAAAATCCAGCTTCCTAATAATTGGAGTTTCCCAAAAGTGGAACAGGCTGCCTCAGCAGATGTTTTCCCTGTATTGAAACTGTTCAAGCAAAGATTGGATAATCATTTGTTGAGAATGTCTTTTTGTTGTATTAGGTGGCCTAAGTGGGTCACAGGCATCCTCCAGCTCTGAAATTCTGTGATTCTCATTTTCTAGATGAGGAAACTGAGGCATAGAGATTTTAATTGGCTTGTCCATTGTCATTCACAGGCAGTAGAGAAGGCAAAATGCAGGATTAGAACATTGGTCCTGGCTCATAGCCCAGGTACAAAAATAACTGACATTTATATAGGACTTTAAAATTTGCAAAACGCTTTGCATAGATTGTAGATTTATATAGATTTAGATTTAGAAATGAAAAAGATTGTACAGGTCATCTAGTCCAACCCCCTTAATTTACAGATGAGAAAACTGAGGCTCAGAGAGGCAATCGACTTGGCCATGGCACACCACCAAAGCAAACACCAAAGGCAGTACTTGAACCCAGGTGTTCTGACTTTATACCCAGCACTCTTTCCACTCTTCTCAGTGTAATATGCTATGAAATAACTTTGTGAGGTAGGTACTAAAGATATTATATCCCTGTTTAATAAATGAAGAAACATGCTAAGATGTTGTTTCTTAAAAGACAAGATTTGAACCTAGATCTACCTAATTTAAAAGTCCAGTCCTCTATCCATAAAAGCATATGATCATATAAAGACTTTGACATCCTTGCAAGTTCTTTGAAGGCAGATATCCTTGTCTCCATATTCTGAGCATCTGGAATGTTACGCGTATATAACAGGTGTTTCTTCTAACCTAATTTCATCCTAGATGTACTTATTTAATTATATGATGTCTTCCCCATTAGCATGTAAACCTTTTGAAAGATGGACTGTTTTGTGTTTTTACCTTTCTTTGTATTCCTAGCAGCTATTTGGTCTGGAGAGATAGTGAACGTTTAATACTTGTTAATTGATTTCTTAATAAAGGTTTGCTGAGTGTTAGAGGGATGTTACCCTTTTTATATACCACTTTAATTAGAATGGAATTCTATTTTTAAAGTAATCCCTCAGACTGAAATTCAGAATGTTTTAGCTTCAGAATCTATTCATCAGATCTGCAAAATAGAGTTAGAAAGGACTATTGCACTGTTTAAAGTATCATCAGAGGTTACTTTGTTTTCATGGAAACAAGTTATATCTTCTTAGTTACAAAATTTCAATGTTAGTTAGGGGAGGTTCAGGTTGGACAACGGTCTAACCTCTGTTTAAGACTATAGGGCGATTGAATAATGAGTTATGAACTTCATAAAGGTTGATCCATTTAAAAACATATTTCATAACTAGTCTATTGTCATCTTCATTTTTTCACAGTTTTTCCAGGTTATTATTTCAATTTAAATGCCTCCATTGTTTTTTTTAAGATTAATTGCATTTTGATTTATGTTTAACATATATCAGTTCTTAAAGCAAGAAACCTGATTATTTAGGCATTCTTCTATTTTGCATTTCCTCACTTCTTTAATATTTTGGCATTTTAATTGTTATGTGTCAAGTGTGTAC